CAGCACTGACTTCCAGGCCAACCCAGAGCGCGGCCTGGCGCGGGTGGCGTTGGGAGCGTAGGGACCTTGGCCGGGACCCCTCTGTTCCTAGCCTGACTTTCCTTATTAGAGGAAAAGGCCCGGATGGACTGAAATTGGCCGAGTGGTGCTTTGCGTTCTTTTTTGCTGCAATTCATTGCTAATTACTGTAGGTGGTTTTCACAGACAGGAGTACAGTAAGCTACAACCAAAGTTGTATCATTATTTTTACTGCCATATTCACGGATGCAACGTTAGGATGCCCGGTACGTTTCTGAATAAGCTTGTTGGAGGGCGGTGTGGTGCGAGGAGAAATGAAACAAGATCGGTCATGAGTTAGTAATGACTGAAGTTGGCTAGTGAACTATTTTGTCTACTTTTGTGTATGTTATTTAGTATATCAAGCTTTCTAGAAGGCAAAGCTTGCTGTGAATACTTGGCAGCTGTGTTCAGACACTGCCTGTATCAGTCTACTAGGACTGCCTTAACAAAGCTCCACAGACTGGGTGACCTGGCGGGCAGGAAATTAATTTCTCCCAGCCCTGGAGGCTGCCGGCCAAGGTCTCCCTGCTTAGCTGTAGATGGCCAGCTTCTCGTCTCTGCACATTGGCTTCCCTGTATGTGTCCTTTCTAATGTCTTTCTGCAAGGACACCAATACCACTGGGTACGCAGCCCACCTTAATGTCCTCATTTTACCTTAATCGCATCTTTAAACACCCTGTCTCCAAACAGTCACCGAGGAGCTGGGGGTTAGGGCTGCCTGCCACTTCACTTGTTTGGGATCTGGGCCATTTATTTAACCTGTGTGTGTTTCAGTTTGCACAACTTTTAAGATGGGACAGTAGTAGTAATTAGGTCATGGGGTTGTGAGGATTTAGCTGTTGGTCATGTGAAGCTCTTAGGACAGTGGCTAGCATGTCTTAAATACTTGATAAATTAAACAGATAGTGGTGTCTTTACAAAGTTCATGGAGAAATGGATTTACATTTCTCCATGAACTTTTGAAGAGTGTAAGTTCCATTTATAAATTAGTAACACAGGGCTTTCCTATGGGATAGCCATCTGCCAGATACTCATTGTTTTATGTGTTTTCACGTGCTCATCACAGCCCCCCAGAGGTGGGCTATTGTCACATCCTGGTTGGCAGATGGGAAGTACGCAGAGAGGAAGTTGGGGTTAGAACCCAACCATTCTGACTATGGAGCCCACACTCTTACCCACCACACCATATTGCCTCTGGAGGATGTTCATTCTGCAGGCGGCCCCCAGGAACTGACTTCTCTTTTTCTTGACCCAGGTTGTCTGCGGTGACAGCAGTCATGGCTGGGCCCCTGCGGTGGGCCACTGCATTTGTGCAGCGACACAGAGCAGGCGTCTTGGTGGGTTCCTGCACAGGCCTGTTTGGGATACAGATGTCTTACCACCTCTTCCCGGATCCCGTGATCCAATGGCTCTACCAGTACTGGCCACAGGGCCAGCCGGCCCCCCTGTCCCCGGAACTGCAGAACCTCTTCCAAGAGGTGCTGCAGGACCTGGGTGTTCCCTCAGGCCATTGCTACAAGCCCTTCACCACTTTCATCTTTCAGCCTGTGAGTGCTGGCTTCCCGAGACTCCCTGCTGGGGCTGTGGTGGGCATCCCCGCCAGCTTTCTGGGGGTCCCACTGACCAATATTGACCATTCTGTGGTTGTCCATGGTCAAAGAGTGGACTGGCAGAGCCCAGCAGGTGCCCGGCTGAGAGATGCCCTCACCCTGTCCCATGATGCCCAGAAGTTCGCCTTGGCTAGGGAGGTGGTGTTCCTGGAGAGCAGCGCAGCCGCCCTACAGGCCCTGCCCGGCCCTGTTTGCCTGACAGGAACCTGGGCACTAAGTGTGGGTGCCAAGCATGCACTGGGCCTCTATGGAGGCCCCACGAACCTACGGGCTGCCTTCAACTTACTGGCAGCTGTGGCAGGCTTCGTGGCCTACGCCCTCTCCACAGACTCTCTGACTCATGCCCTGGAAGCCTGGCTGGACCGCCGCACAGCCTCTCTGTCTGCAGCCTATGCCCGGGGTGGAGTGGAGTTCTACGAGAAGGTTCTATCGGGCAACCTGGCCCTGCGCAGTCTCTTGGGCAGGCGTGGGGAGAAGCTGTACACACCCAGCGGGAACATCATCCCCAGACACTGGTTCCGAATCAAACATTTACCCTACACAACCCGCCGGGACTCTGTGCTACAGGTGTGGAGAGTGACGTTCAACCCAGGCCACTCCTGAAGGACTGAGGACAAGGACAACTCTTGCTGTTAACTCTGAGGGAGCCTCTTGGTACCTCTGCATCCACAGCCCAGTGTCAGGAAAATGACAGGCATTGGAGTTAAGCCACCAAGATTCTTTCTTAGCATACCCTGTATGGACCCAGTGACTTTGGGCAAGTCCCTTTATGAACATGAGAGTGGGGATGATGAGAATGACCTTGCGGGGTTGAAGGGTTGTGTGTGGCCTGCAGAGGGCATACTATATTCATAGACAGGTGTCCTCCTTGTCCTTGACTGCCGTTCAGCTGTGGAGTCAGGCCATGCCTCACCACCACCAGGTCCTTACAGTACGTGAACACTGCTACAGCAGAGAACCACCCCCAGTGTGCCTGGCAGTCACAGCTCAGTTTTCCTCTGCTATGGTAGGTGGTAGCGTGCCACACTGCAGAGCTAGAAGCCAAATGGTAACTGCAGTTTGAATCCCCAACACAGCCTGAAGCAGCATGTATATAAGTTCCCAAGATAGGATGGGCTGGAGGAAGGGAGTGTGGCAGATCTGACCCTGCAGCAGGTGCTTTTCTCTTTCTCACTCTCACGCACATGCTCTGTCATGAATAAAGAAAAAATGTAAGAGACCACAGTGACGAGGTAATGTCAGCCTCACTGAGAGGCTGTTTCAAGGTGGGGCCTTCAGGGACTCTTCCAGGACAACGAGCATGGTGGGCTTGAAGAGGAGGAGGGTGAGGAGGGGTTAGCTCAAGGAGAGCAGGGGATCAGCCTGCTGCCCATCCCCCAGGACCCAAAGGAGGCTAGTGAGAACATCAGACAATAGATCCCAGTGGGGCAAGGTGACAAGAGCTGTGACCATCAAGCCAGGCCCACCTTGGCCACTCATGTCATCTGCTCATTGGAGGTTGTGTTTTCCTGGGGAGCTCTGAAGAATTCAGGCCTGGCAAAGGGGGTAGGCCACACCCAGGGATGGGTGCTCAGTGGTGGCAGGGAGTTCCTGGCAGGAGACACCAAGAAGAGAGAGCCAGTGGGCTGATGTGGGGCTGGCACACCTCCCCACGGGTCCTCCTTGGGCTGGGGCTCTGTGCTATTCCACCTTCCAAGGCCCTGCTCCAGACCTGGAAGGCCAAGGTCCCCAGCACAGCTCCCCAGGACAGGGCCTTCCTCATCCCACAAGCCCCTGGTCCCTAGCTGATCATTAGGCATGGGCTTTGTGCACCCATAGAGGGATGGATGTTGGAGTGGTTGAGTGCAAGCCTCTGTCTAGGAAATGCCACTTTATATCCCTTGGGATGTCCCCAAATGCTGCTACAGCTGCTCATCAAAGACTATTAGACCATGTGGCCACCTGGAGACAGCAGCTTAGGGTCCAAAACACCAACTCCAGTCCCCCAACCTTGGCTGGCAGAACCTCCCTGTGCATGCACCTGCACTTGTGTATTTGTCCTCTCTCCATCACATTCTGTATGCCCCTGACCTCTCCCCAAGCAGGGTGGCTGGCAGGCACCAGCCCCAGCTCAGGGCCGGCTTTGGGATGGCAGTCGTCCTCCCCACCATCCCAGTGGTGGCACCCACCCTTGGTGCTTTCCCTCCCAGTGGCTCCGCTCTTTAGTACTGGGCAGTACAGGTCTGACTGGGCGGATCTCCTTCCTAAGACCCTTTGAGGACATCCCCTTGCTCTGGCTAAAGCCGCACTTCCCATCCTGGCCTGCTCTCTCCAGTAAGTGCATTGTCCCAGCTCTCTGGCTCAGTGGATCCCTCTGGGGTGAGTCCCAGCTCACTGGCAGTTTGGTTCCTTCACTGTCCCTCCTTCCCCACTGAAGCCTCCAAGTTCCCTGTGTCCTTGCTCTGTGCAGTGGACTCCCTGACTGACTTGCTCGGTTTGCAGGAATACTGCAGAGTATTGCTCCAGTGGGAAACTCGGACTCCTGACTGCTGGCACCTCACTTTGCTCAGGACACTTCATCTCATGTCACCCCGTTTTATGCTGTCATGCACCAGGAACTTCTCTCCCTTGCTACCAACTAGTTTTCATGGAGTCAGTGGTTTAGTATCTGCAGAAATGCAGTAGCTGCAATGGCAGGATTGTACGTCTAACAGGCCTCTAAGCTACACATAGCCCCAGCTCCCAAATTACTTAGCAGTTAACATTAAGGCTGCCTGAATACCCTGGGTGAGGCCACTGAGTGGTGTCTGACCCTGTCCTTTCTCATTACCTGGGGATTCTCCAAAGGCAAGATCTGGCTTCTGTCTTCTACAATTTGCTGAATTCAATGAAAAATGACATTTCTTGGTCACTTCTTAGAGAACACAGATTACAACCCAGAGTACCAGGAACTCTAAGAGGCTTTAGGAAGAAGGGTACCACTTAATGTGATATATTGTGTCCCTACGCACAGATTCGGGGTGGATTCCAAAGGGTTAAGAAATGTGCTCTAGGGCTTCGCAGGTGAGCCAGGTGACAGGAAGTCACCTGTAAGCTAGTTACCCTGCTACTTCCCCTCTCAAATGCCTGTGGCAACCATGCTGACAGCGCAAGCTCCTGGATCTCCGGAGAACACTGCTGCTGACTGCAGCCTCTCTGCTCCCACCCCAGGCTCGTGGCTCCCTGAGTGAACGCAAGAAGTCTCCGGGCCCCAGAGCAGTCATCCACAGACCCAGAGTGCGGCTGCCCTGCAGAGGGCTGCATAAAGACACAAATACCATACCCTCAGCCCTGTCTAGGCACACACACATCCAGACACGGGGTACACGGAGGAAGCCCCCCGAGTCATGGCACTACATTGGACCTGCTGATCTTTGACACTAGCTGGCCCTACTGCCTCTCCCCACCAGTGTCCACGACGCAGGGCCGACTTAACCATGCCTGGAGCCGGCCCGATCCCCACATGTGAGTAGATCACAGGTCGTGTGCAAATACATGGGGGCTTCAAAGAGTTCAAAATATCACAGAAAAGCTAGGCATGGATTTCACAATTCTTTTGCACCATCTTGCCATAAACCTGCCTTACTCTCCCCTTGTAGACTCACAGGTCCTCACCCAGCAAGGCTCCTGCTAGTCTCTCGCCCACCTCATCCCTGTCGTATTATAACAGGGCCTCTTGGGCAACCAGACACTGCGCTAGGTTCCTAGAGACATTTCCTCATATATCCTCCCCTGGGCACGTAGTCGGTATTATTTCAGTTTTACAGGTGAGAAAACAGCTCAGAAAGCTGGAAAAATTTGCCCCAGATCATAAAGCTTTGTAGGTGGCAAAAAGAGGCTTTGAAACCAGCAGTCTTGCTCCAGATACCATTCTCTAACACTAAATGTATTCTGTCCTATTTATCCTGAAAGTTTTGCAGTGCGGCTACCCTGTGGAGCCTGGAGCCTGTCTCCTGCTGGTCTAGAGGTGACTCTCCAGATTCATGTCTTTTATTAGGAAAGTGGTCCCTGAGCAGAGCCTCTGGGGAAGAGCCTTCCAGCTCACTGAAGAAAAGGGGGTGCCCAGTCTTCCATGTTAAGCGTTGGAGTGGAATGGGGTGGAAGGGCAGAGCATCTTGGGGTCCTGAGAGACACTAGCTGAGGACAAGCGGACCTTAGGAGGTGGGAGAGAACAGGGTGGGCAGCCGTGGGTTCAAATCCTGGTCCTACCACATCAGTAGAGTGGCCTTGAACAAGTGATCTCATACCTCTAGGCCTGAATTTCCTGTCTATAAAATGAGGATATTCAGGACCAACCGATGGCATAATGGTTATGTCACTGGACTCCCATGTAGTCAACTGTGGTTCGAGTCCCGTACCCAGCGAGTTAAAACTCACACTGGCCATGCACGTGCGTGTGAGGAGAAGGGATTGTGGCTTGGCCACCCCTCCGGGGACGTGATTTCTCACTTTCTGTCTCTCTGTCTCTGGCAGGAGCATGTGCCCTATAGCAAAAATCTCTTTTTTTAAAAAAAGGATATTCATATGTATCTTTTTAAGAAATTTATTTGTTTCTTTCAACAAAAAGAGACATGCTCACAGCATCTTCATGCCAAGATCCACCTCCAGATTCAGCTGGCCCAGATCGCGGTTGTACACGCACCCAGCATGCTCAGGAAAGTTCTGGAGCACAAACCCAGGTCCTTTCCCTTGTGGGTCCGTTTGACTTGCCACTGCATCACCGCTGGCCTTTTTATATGTATCTTACAGGATTGTTTCGATGGTGAAAGTGAAAGGCAGTTTATAAAATGTGAAGTCTGGCGTTTGTTTGTTTTTGTTGTTGTGTTTTTCTTTTTTTTTTTTTTTGAGAGGTTTTCGCTATAGGGCGCGTGCGCTCGCCAGACAGACAGAGAGAGACATAGAGACAGAAAGCGAGAAATCACCCCCCAGGGGGGATGGTCACGCCGCAATCCCTTCTCCTCCATTCTCCTCTCGGGATCTTGGGCACACACGCACATGCGCCCGGCGTGAGTTTTAAGCCACCGGGTCCGGGATGCGAACTGCGGTCGACTACATGGGAGTCCAGCAACATAGCCATTTCGCTAACTGCTGGTCCCCTTGTTGTTATGTTTTGAGAGATTTTTTTACTTTAGGGTGCGTGCGCTTGCCAGAAAGACAGACAGGAAGCAAGAAATCACCCCCCAGAAGAGATGGCCACACCGCAATCCCTTCTCCTCCATTCTTCTCTCGGGATCTTGGGCACACACGCACACGTGCCCGGCATGAGTTTAAGCCACTAGGTCCAGGACTCAAACTGCAGTCGACTATGTGGGAGTTCAGCGACATAGCCGTTACACCAACTGCTGGTCCTGGCTACACTTTTCAGTGTTTCTTTTTTTCTTTTTCTTTAGAGTTTTTTGTTTGTTTGTTTGTTTGTTTGGGGTTTTTTTTTGGGGGGGGGAGTTGTTTTGTTTTGTTTTGTTTTTGCTATAGAGCACATGCCCTCTCTAGAGAGACAGACAGGAAGCGAGAAATCACCCCCCAGGGGGATGGCCATGCCACAATCCCTTCTCCTCCATCCTCGTCTTGGGATTTGGGGCACTCATGCACATGTACGCAGTGTCGATTTTAAGCCACTGGGTCCAGGACTAGAACCATAGCCAACTAGCAGGAGTTGACATAACCATTGCGCTATCTGCTGGTCCCACTTTTCAGTGTTTCAAAGCCCCAGTTCAGGCAGTTTTTTAGTTTACTCTCTGTAAACATCTTTTGGAAATTACTTGGCAGCAACTGAGAGTAAAGACCCCAGGTCACCCTAGGGAGAGAGACAAGGCTGAGGAAGAAGGCATGACAGTGGGAGGTAGTTTATTCACCGTCTATACTAGTGATTTTTAAACACTAGAACATTTGGTGTTAATGAGGTTATGGTAAAATTGATTCAAGCATGTCAATGTTCTTGGCAACGTTTGTAGTAGGGAGCCTCTCAATGGCCTCCAGTGATCCCCAACCCCCATTCCTGGCCTTGGGTAATCCTCCCCTGTCTTGTCTCTTGGTTCTAATGTGGCCACAGTGAGGGGAAGTCACTTCCGTGATTACCTTATAAATGATTAGGATTTCTGTCTTGCTAACAGATTGTTGTCTTCTTGGCTGGCATATTTGTTTGTTTCCTTTATGAGAGAAGGAAAGGGAGAAGGGCTGAGACAGACACTTTTTGACACCG